AGTACTATAATTAACAGCTGGTTATATAGACGTCATCAGCTCACTGTATGTCTCCACTGAGGGGTTCGGATCTTACCATAAGGTAGGGGTGACCAGGCTATAGTCAACTCCACTGGCCCAGTGCGGGTTGACTTTACACATATCTTTGAATTTCTTCGTAGATATGTGCAGGTTGCATTCAAATTTCTTTCACCGTAAGAACTTGTAATTAAGTACAAAAGGCTTGGTATACGATCAAAAATAATATTTGATAATTGTAATCGAACCTAAATTATTTTAATTACTTTTTTTTCTGTTTCCTTTCTGTTTTATTGGCAGCTAGATGTCGCCCGCGACTCAATCCGCACAGAATTATATAAACTTAATAAGTAGCCTACGTGTTCTTCCAGACTATGTTCTACAACTATGCCAAATTACATCGAGATAAGTTCAGCCGTCCCGGATATACCTTCAAACAAACATCCATCCATCCATCCAGAAATTCCCGTTTATAAGTAAGAAGTAGCCAAGTCTAAGGGCAGTAGAATGAAAGTGAAGACTTGATACCAAATGGTACCAATAAGTGGATTAAAGTTTGGTTACTGTTCCGTTTTCTTGATACATAAGTCCAACCTTAAAGCTTTTAATGGTTTATTTAAAAAAAAAACATTTACACAAATATAACCGACTAATTTAAAACGTTTGTTTAACAGTTGATATGAATATTTAATATTGTTATACGTAACATGTTACGTTAGTAATGAATAAATAAAATATTGAAGGTATCGATTATAGATTACTCGAGTTGTAAAGTTCATGAACAGAGGTCGTACACGTATCTGTGTTTTACAACTAACGTAATTCAATACGTAACATTCACTTTGAATTACGTCATTAAAATTATACTATATTTTAGGTTATATTTTGAAAAATATTACTAAACGTAATAGTACCAGGATGGTCGTCATTTATCAAAAACATCTCTGGAAATAATAACAATATTACTTTTTACTAGTATTATAAATGCGAATGTTTAGATGGATGTTTGTTTGAAGGTATCGTCAAAACGGCTGCATAGATCTCGCTGATTTATGATGAACATTGTCTGGAAGAACACGTAAGCTACTAATTAAGTAATTTTAAATACAGCGCGGACGGAGTCGCGGTCGATAGCTAGTGAGGTGTTAGATCCTTAGTTAAATAATTTTATGGGGAGAAGTTTTATAAATTTATGTTATGAATAATTAAATAATAATTAATGCATACAAAAATGTTTGATTTGGTTACAACATTTAAGTTTTTTTACGTCATAAACTCTTACTAGCGTCCACATCTTACCAAAGCTTCGTCACAATCCGTCCGTTAGAAGCGAATGGCCAAGATACAAACGTTTTTTTATACATAAGATTTAGATAGTGTAGTAATGACAACCTCCCTCATCCCATCTAATCAATTCGCGTTAAACAAAGAGAAAGCTTTAGACCTTTGTAAAAGTTTTCATAAAAGGTCTCATTTGCATCGCAAACTTTCTAACTTTAGCAAATACAGCCTCTCTCGGGACTTTGAAGCCCTCTGTCTAAAGCTTTTGAAAGCTTAACAGATGTAGAGATAATAAGAAAAATAAAATCTCGTAATAAAATATTCAAAAACAAAAGAACTTCGTAAAATATTTTTATGCTGTTTTATCTTGTTTAAATCAAATATAAGTATCTTAAAAATAAAGCAATAAAATTAATATTTAACTTAAGTATTTTTAGAAGATTCAAATTATTTGTTATATATATATATATATATATAACAACATATATATATATATATGTTTGTTTGAAGGTATCGTCAAAACGGCTGCATGGATCTCGCTGATTTATGATGAACATTGTCTGGAAGAACACGTAAGCTACTAATTAAATAATTTTAAATACAGCGCGGACGGAGTCGCGGTATATATATATATATATATATTATACAAAATATATTCTTTTGTACAAAATTTAAAACTATTATTTCATCAAAGTATCTAAAAGTGTTACGACCTATTGTATTTATTCTGGCGAACGTTAAACGTTCCCGCCTTTTCTAGGTCAGTGATACAAGTCCATAATTATTATAAAACAAGAAGAAAAGTAAAAACGTTTTTGATACAAAAGAAATTATATTTGTGATATTTTTGTTGAAGATAAAAGGTTAACAAGAAAGTATTCTTGTAAAAGTGTTTATATTTTACGATTTTGTTCTTGATCGTAAGTTCTAATGACATTCTAGAAAGTGCTTTTGATGGCTTTAATTATAAGCGTCCATTGGACCGCGTCGGACGCACCGCAAGCATGGCCTGGAACGGATATTAGTATGTTTTGTATAATTTTACGTAACGCTGCATCCATCATCCGCGCCGCGCGCATCGCATCGAGACAAAGCAAATTCGTTTGTTCCCTTTTTTATATCATAAGGTGGCAAACGAGCGGCGGTCACCTGAAATCGCTGAAATAGCGAAGTGACCGTTGCCCATAGACATACGCAATTGCATACGTGTTGCAAGAAAATATTTCCATGCATCCTCTCATCCGGAAAGTCCACTTCCACTTCCCACCCTTTCCTTATAAGAAAAAGGTTGGGATGGGAAAGAGGACTAAATTCGGCCTCCGGGACGTACATTCATCAGACTGTATGCGGAATTGCTTCCACTTGACGCCTGTCTTCTGTGTGGTCGTGGTATTTCACCGGGCGAGCCGGGCCAATTTGTGCGAAGATGTTAAAGCGGGCTCTTCCACTTTTTATGACAAGTCTAACTTTAAATATTAATATGAAGGGATATAAGTCTAGGAATATGTGGATGAATTGCGTGAAAGCTGACAAATTTACAGACAGTTATATAATGGTGCTTGAAATTACGCTGTCTTTTGAACTTGAAAAAAAGGGGCTTGACAGACAGACGGACGAACAACAAAGTGATTCTATAAGGGTTCCGTTTTTTTCCTATGAGGTACGGAACCCTGAAAATATACAACTGTTAAAGTTCATAGACAACGAACCTTGAATACAATCGATATTTATTTTTGGTCGCACCGTAAATAGATTGATTAAATTGGTAATAGACATAAGTGTTATCTTTGCGTTTGATATATTTTCTAGCCATATAACATAACAAATGTATGTTTTATGTCGTTATCAACTTATATGTCCCTACCGTAGGATTCAAACCAACACTAATAGAATTGACTACGGTGACTAGGCCATAGTCAACCACGCTTGTCCGCACTGGATTGGTTGGCTGCACATCTTAGATATGAATTTCACTGTATAAAACATACTAGTGGTCGCCCGCGACTCCGTTCGGGCGAAATTAGTTAAAACATAATTAGGAGCTTATGTGTTCTTCCAGACAATGTTCTATATCTATACCAGATTCATCGAGATCCGTGGAGCTGTTCTGGAGATACGTTCAAACAAATATCCATTCGTCTAAACATTCGCATGCATAATGTTAGTACGATTAACAAGATCGCAAAGACCGCAAATCGTGAACTTTTCCGCTGGTTCTGTCTGTAATAAGCTTCCTCTGTAGGAATAGTCCTTGTGTCCTCTCTATAAAAATGTATTTGAAACTCTTTGGTCACTAATTGTAAAATGTTCTTATCCATAAACAACATGAAATTGATAAAACAACAGCACAACTCACGCTTTTAACCCAAAGAGGAAGGCAGAGATGACTGGCTTCTATTTACACCAATAACCAGAATCTGTCAAATTTATTCAATTTAAAATTATCAATGCCAATGTTTTAGTCAAGGATGACAATCGTGTCGTAGAGAGGAAACTTCGATATTCGATAACTTTGTTCATTAAAATGTAACTGACGTCGAAACATCGCCCTCTGTAAACTTTATTGAAGTAAAATAAAATTCATTATCTGTGGCTGGCCCACATAAAAAAAATGTCATAAAGTTCACGTATCAATAGTGATTTTACGATAAAGGTTAGTTATTAAAACAAAATAAAGCTTTAGGTGCGTATACAACCTTTTTGATTGATTGTTTTTTTACAATATAAAAATTACTGGTTGAAAATAAAACTCAAACGTACATGGATCGATGAGACAAAATATCAACCACTGAAAAATAATTAATAGAACTAAACATATGCTATAATTTATTTCTTTTTTATCCGACTTCATTCATTTCTAATTATAAAACATTGAATTGAAGTGGTGTGGTGTAAATAAAGTCGTTGAAAATTTTAAAAGAATTATTTTAAATATGCATAAAAGATGACAAAGTTAACAGAATGGTTTTATTAGATGTTATTACGATTGCCAACTTTCCGCGTGCTCGGCAAATTCAAATTCACTTGGGTATTCGTTGAGCGAAGATCTGCTCCTGCAAAAAATATTACGTGTAAACTTGTGTAGAAATTCACAAGAAACGTAAAACTTCAAATAGAATGAGAGTTTTAATATTTTTATATCATGTTTTTTTTTTATTAAACTCGACGTCAAAAATAAAAAGAAATAGAAATACAATTTGTAATTCTAACGTTAAGCTAAGCTGAATCTTGTACATTAGTAACGTTTTCACTCTGCTAGTAAGAAAGGTAATAAGCTAAAAATGTTTTATTCACTAACTCTAGCTTTACTCTCGAAAAAAAAAGGATTAAAAAAAATGTTCTACTCAAATTTGACGTTAAGTAAATATAAAAAAAAAATTAACGTTATATTTAAAATAGCTGTCAACTACGTCTCCGTCCGCGCGAAATTAAAAAGAAAACTTAATAAGTTATGTGTTATTCCAGACTATGTTCTACATCTGTGCCGAATTTCATCAAAATCCATTGAGCCGTTCCAGACATACCTTCTTACAAACATTCATCTAATTCGCAATTATAATAATACTAAAATATTTACCCAGTTTTTGTAATAACCCGGCGTATTGTAATATATCCGGACTTATAAAAGATCCGAGTGGCCGCGTGCATCCGGAAATCCGGATATCCGGCTTTGTACGGTCGATACTGCGACTGACCGTACAATGCAATGTATGAATTACACGGCTACTTTATACAAAGCCTCTGTACCGTGAAAGATATGTTACCGTGGAATTGTAGACATCGGCAGTCATCTAGACTTACTAATATTATAAATTCGAAAATTTGATACATTTTTCTTAGAAGGTATCTTCAGAATGTCTCAACGGATCTTAATGAAATTTGGCATACATATAGAACATAATCTTGAAGAACACATAGGCTATGTCCGCGCCAAACTTGACACCTGGCCGAGCGGCGCGGGGGCGACGTCACTCAACTTCAAGCACTCACTCTTTCATTCAATTCATTCTCGCAATTCTCGCACTCAAGCGCACACATGTCGCACTAATGTACTTCTTCCAATTAAACGCGAATCTAAGATATTTCCAACAGTTTTTTATTTTCTTGTTCTGTACTGAACAAAGTGGCGACCGTGACAGGACCTGCAAAAGCCAGAAACAACAATTTCGAAGTTGCAACCATTTTGCCGAGCGAAGGACAAACAAAGGTCATCGACACGTGCATCCGTCCAGCCTTCTACACCTTCTTGGAGGACTACAAAGGGCTGTGACTACATCGGAGCCCGTGCAACTAGACTTCCTCACGCCGGTCTACGTTTCAAGCAACATCCCGAAGGAGCCTCACGCCTACGTGGAAGTCAGCCAGCATCGCCTATTGGAACTGCTTTCTTTTTGTTGCTTCCTGCCTTTCTCAAGTGAGCCCGTTCCTTATCTACTTTCCTAATTGCCTTTTGCTTTGATTTGCAAACAAATATTTTGGCTTTTCAGCGTTTAAATGATTAAACAATTTCGCTAATTACGCTTATATCTAGCTATAGTGAGTGCCTAATTACTGAACAAATTTAAATTATCTAATTGCTATTATATTCATCTATCATCAAAGTTGAAAGTCATCCCACGTGCGCATTTCTTTGTGATTCATTCATTCATTCTATAACCGCTAAAATCACGCTTGCATTGCGTGGCATCGTATTTGCCTTTATTTATATTGCTCTTCGCTGCTTATTAGCTTATTTCATTTAATTTAGCTTGAAAACAAATTAGTTTTGCCCATTTTTGCATATATTCAAACAAACCCATCTTTGATCAAATATATAAACGCGCTTTTACCGCTAAGGAGCATCATATTTCTAAGTTAATTCTAAAATTGTTTCAATCGTTTTATAATATCAATTCCAGCCATTATCGGCGCATCGGACAAGCAACAGTCGACTCGCGTGACGTCACCCTTTGTCTACGTGTATGCAGCTACCTGTGCTCTTCACTCCAGTGACAAATCGTGCGTCTGCGGATAGTCGCGCGAGGCTGCGGCTGACTACGAAGCGAGGAGCGTATCGTATGCAATTTTAACCTACATTCAACTTAATACATTTATTAGTTTTTTTATTTATTTCATCGCAATGTCTACAGAAACCGAATCTAGAGAACTTAAGGTTCTCAATATTAAACGTAGCAATATAAAAGGACGTTTAACTAAATTTAAGAATTTTATCGATAATTTAAAAACTTCAGAATCTTTTTCAGACGTAGAATTAACTGAGCTTGCGATGAAATTATCTAGAATTGAAGCTTTGTTTATCGAGTTCGAAGAGTTGCAAAACCAAATAGAATTTTTAAACATTTCAAATCAAGAAATAGAATTGACTACTCGCGATATTTTTGAGCAAGACTTTGATCACTACATTTCTCTTGCTCAAAATATGATTAAAACGTATTCAACTTCCAAGTCCACTAATTGTGATATTCATTCAAATTCTTCAAACCATTCTAATAATTCCTGCCGACATAATGATAATTATGAAACGCTTGGGTTTAAATTGCCTATAATAAAAATACCCAGTTTCGATGGAACATATTTCAAGTGGTTGGAATTTAAAGAAACATTTAGTTCTTTAGTTCATGAAAATTCTAAAATTAAAAATATTCATAAATTTCATTATCTTAATTCTTACTTGGAAGGTGAAGCCGCCCGTGTCATTAGTAATTTAGAAGTTTCAGATCAAAATTATTCACAAGCCTGGCAACTCTTATGTGAACGCTTTGATAACAAAAGACAATTGATCAACAATCATTTAAAATCACTTTTTAATTTTGAATACGTCCGCGAGACTGACAAGTCACTCCGTTTCATCACTGATCACATTACTAAAAACTTGCGCGCCCTCAGTACACTGGGCCTGCCTACTGACAAGTGGGACGTTTTAATAATTTATATAGTTACAGAAAAGTTAGACAGCGCCACATCCTTTAAATGGGAGGAACATAGAAATAGTTTGTCCGATATTCCTACACTTAGTGACTTCTTCACATTCCTAAGAAAACGTGCTGATATTTTAGAGATTGTCCATCGCAATAAACAAGAAAAACAAAATAAAATTAAATATACAAATTCTACTGCACCTTACAATAAGATGCAAACTAAGTCTTTTGTAGTTACTTCTAAGTACACTGTTTCTAATTCTAATAAAACCTTCGAGTGTGCACATTGTAAGGGTAACCATCGCCTATACGAATGTTATTCATTTAAGGCCAAGTCACCAGAAGATAGGAACTCAATAGTAGCATCATTGAAATTATGTAAAAATTGTTTAAGGTCAGGTCATGTTGCTGACAACTGCAAGCTTCCAGGTTCTTGTCGATCTTGTAAAAAACGTCATAATTCACTTTTACATATTATTAAAGAATGTGAAAATTCTAGTAATAGCGTTCCGCCTGATCAATCGGTAGTAATGTCCGTCTTGTCTTCTACTGAAGTGTTGTTGTGTACAGCCAAGGTTTTAGTATCTAATCCCATAACTAACAAATCTATTACAGTGCGAGCTTTACTTGACTGCGGGAGTCAGTCTTCCTTTATTACCGAGTCGGTCCAACAAAAATTAAACTTGACTCCTCAGCCTTCAAACGTTAATATACTTGGTATTGGTAATGCTCAAGTTAACCTAAATACGAAAAGATGCATTTTGCGATTACAATCCAATAATAGTTCTTTCAACGTAACAATGAGTTGTTTAGTTTTACCTCTAATATCCAGCAATTTGCCAAAGATATCTTTTGATTACAAAGACATAAATTTACCTAAACTTGAATTAGCGGATCCTAGTTTTAACGAACCATCCTCTATTGATATGCTCATTGGCGCTGACTTATTCTGGGACCTGATAGGCTCAGAGCAGCGCCGTCTAGGGGACCAAACCAAAACCCCTAACCTACGTAGCTCTAAACTTGGTTGGCTCGTTGCTGGCCCCCTACCTAATTTACCTAAAAATTCTACACCAAATAATTTATCAATATGTAACTTCTGTCTAAAGGATGACAATTTTCCTAATAATTTATCTATAGATCAACATGAAAACTATAATTTTGAAAAGGCCTTGTCAAGATTTTGGGAATTAGAAAGTTTTCCCCACTATAAGCCCTTGACTCAAGAGGAAAAACTATGCGAACAGCATTTCCTTTCCACTACTACGCGTTTAAGTGACGGTCGATTTTGCGTCAGTTTACCACTCCGTGATGACCGAGACTGTTTAGGTGATTCT